TAAGGGAACGCCAAATGAAAAATAATTAACCAACTACTATGAACGATTTTCTAGGACAAGCATTTATATTTTTATTTTCTGCTGTAATTTGTGTTCCTATTTCTAAGAAATTAGGAATGGGTTCTGTATTAGGCTATTTGATAGCAGGAGTTTTAATAGGACCATATGTTTTGAAATTTGTAGGAAACGATGGTGCTGATATAATGCATGCTACAGAATTTGGTGTTGTGATGATGCTATTTTTAGTTGGATTGGAATTAGATCCAAAAGAATTCTGGAAGATGAAGAACAAGATTATTAATCTTGGTGGAATGCAAATTTTAGGGACAGTTTTTATCGCAACAATTATTGGAGTTTATGGTTTGAAAATGAATTTTCCAAGAGCTATTTCTATAGCTTTTGCTATTACCGTTTCTTCGACAGCTATTATTATGCAGACTTTGAATGAAAAAGGACTTACTAAAACAGGAATTGGTAAATCGACTTTTTCTGTACTTCTTTTTCAAGATATAATGGTTATTCCAATTTTAGCAATTATACCTTTATTGGTTGGAGATTCACTAATACAATCTATTGGAGATGATTCTAAAAGTCTATTGGTTGGTGGACCTGCTTTTATGAAAACATTGGTAATTGTAGGTGCAATTACTTTTATATATGTTATTGCAAAATATATTCTAACACCTTATTTTAAATACGTTGGTCAATTACAAGTTAGAGAAATATATACTTCTTCAGCATTATTATTAGTTATTGGTGTATCTCTATTAATGCAAAAAGTTGGAATTTCTCCTGCTTTGGGAGCATTTATAGCTGGTGTTGTATTGGCTAATAACGAATATAAACATCAATTAGAAAGCGATATAGAACCTTTTAAATCTTTATTACTTGGTATCTTTTTTATAGCTGTTGGTTCTACTATCAATTTTAAGCTGATTGTAGAGAAGCCTCTTATGATTCTTGGACTAACAATAGGAATTATGGCTATAAAATCGTTTGTTTTATGGATAATAGGAATTAAGCATAAGTTTAATTTTGATCAGAAAATGTTATTTGTTCTATTGCTATCACAAGTAGGAGAATTCGCATTTGTGATTTTAGCTTTAACTAGAAATTTAGATATTCTCAACAAGCAATGGTACGATTTAATGCTAGCTACAACAGCGATAACAATGGTAATAACTCCACTATTATTGGTACTGAATGAACGTTTGATTTTAAAATATTTTGGAGTAAAATCTAAAGTCACTCCAATAGTAAAAAATGAGCAAATAAATATTGATGCTTCTGAAGGAGATTGTTATTATTGCAGGATTTGGTGATTTTGGAAATACAATAAGTAGAGTTTTAAACAGTACAGATATAAAAACTATTGTTTTAGATAACGATAGCGAGCGTGTTGAAAAAATGCGTAAACAAGGTTTTAATGTTTTTTATGGTGATGCAACCAATGTAAATCTTTTAAAATCCGCTGGTGCTGATCATGCAAAATATTTTGTTGCAGCGTTGGATCCTCCAGAAATTAATCAAAAGTTAGTACATATTGTTCGTAAAAACTTTCCTAATCTTGAGATTATTGTTCGTGCAAAAAACCGTAGTTATGCCTATAACTATTTGAAAGAAGGATTGAACGAAGTGTATAGAGAAAGTTTCTTCTCATCAGTTTATGTTGGTCGACAATTACTTATAAAATTTGGTTTTTCGTATGAAGAAGCTTCTAAAATTGGTGAGATTTTTATAAAGAGTGATCGTAAATCATTAAGAAGAATTGCAAAACATACAGAGAATTCTGATGAATATTTTAAAGCATCAAAAGAAGAATTTGAAAAACAAATGAAATTAGTTTCCAAAGAATTAAATAATAGAAAAAATGGAGAAGTTAAATAAAAAGAAACTTTTAGTTATTCGTTTTTCTGCATTAGGTGATGTTACAATGATAGCGCCTGTTCTTAAAGAATTTATAGAACAGAATCCTAATGTAGAAGTTTATGTTGCTTCTCGCCCATTCATGGGAACTATTTTTAAACAATTTCCTGAAATAAAATTCATTCCTGTTGATCTAAATAAAGAGTACAAAGGCTTTTTAAATCTTTTTAAATTATATGGAGAATTAAAAAAATATAATTTTGATTATGTTGCTGATTTTCACAATGTAATTCGTTCTAAAGTTATTACATCTCTCTTTAAATTAAGTGGAATAGCAACAGCTACATTAGATAAAGGTAGAGAAGAAAAAAAAGCATTAATTAATCAAGAAAACGAGTCTTTACACCTTAATTAACACAGACGCTACGCTGCACCTGTCCCATGTGTTACAGCACTTTAGGGTTTAAATTAACACTTAGTCATCAATTAACAACTCAAATACCTTAAAAGAAGGAAAAATCGATTGGCTCTATACGCTCCTGCAGCTTTTAAACAGTCTACAAATGTTTCCATTGGATAAATGAGATTCGTTAAACAAAATACCTATTGCGCAGAAAATGGATATTAAAATTTTTTTTGCTTTGGCAGGGAGGAAAATTTAGAAATTGCATTGATCTCAAACCATGGGAGAATTTACATCCTTTTACATATTCAATCTTTAGCACGTTAAGATTTCTTTTGAAGAAGCAATTACAAAAAATCCCGCCAACATTTTAACAATCTATGCACTCTTTCTATGTGATGTCTGCCAATATGCATTTAGCCTCTTTAATGGGAACAAGAACCATATCTATTTGGGGAGGAACACACCCATTTGCAGGCTTTATAGGTTATGGACAATCTACAAATGATGTTATACAAGATGAAACATTAAATTGTCGCCCTACTTCTATTTTTGGTAAAGATCCAAAAGGCTTTGAGAATTTTGATTATTTTCAGAATTTATCATCAGAAAATGTTTATCAACAAATTGTGGATAAGCTAAAAAATTAAAATCATATAAAAACAAAGTCTATAAATAAAGTCTTTTATTTTTGGGCAATTGCTTCGCACTGTGGTTTCACGTTCCCAATCTTTTTAGATTGGAAATATAATCATCTTCTTGAAATGAATCCAATCTAAAAAGGATTTCCACTTCAATCACTATTGCAAAATGTCACGTCTAAAAAATAGATAGGAAATAAAAAAGCCGTTATAAAATAAATTATAACGGCTTTTAATGTTTATAAAAATAACACTATGATTAGAATAATTAATATCCTGGTGTTTGTGTCA